TGGCTGGTCCCGCCTGAGGCCGAGGCCATGATGCAGGACAAGCTCCTTGATTCTGGAGACCCTCAGCTCTCAGCGGGGAAACCCTGGGCTCCCATGATAAGGTTGGGGCTTCCTTAAACATCCGCTGGATCATCGAAAAAGCAAGAGAGTTCCAGAAAACCATCTATTTCTGCTTTATTGACTATGCCAAAGCCTTTGACTGTGTGGATCACAATAAACTGTGGAAAATTCTGAAAGAGATGGAAATATGAGACCACCTGACCTGCCTCCTGAGAACTCTGTATGCAGGTCAAGAAGCAACAGTTAGAACTGGACATGGAACAACAGACTGGTTCCAAACTGGGAAAGGAGTACGTCAAGGCTGTATATTGTCACCCTGCTTATTTAACTTATATGCAGAGTACATCATGAGAAACACTGGGCTGGATGAAGCACAAGCTGGAATCAAGATTGCTGGGAGAAATATCAGTAACCTCACATATGCAGATGACACCACCCTTATGGCAGAAAGTGAAGAGGAACTAAAGAGCCTTTTGATGAAAGTGAAAGAGGAGAGTGAAAAAGTTGGCTTAAAGCTTAACATTCAGAAAACTAAGATCATGGCATCTGGTCCCATCACTTCATGGGAAATAGATGGGGAGACAGTGGAAACAGTGTCAGACTTTATTTTTTGGGGCTCCAAAATCACTGCAAATGGTGATTGCAGCCATGAAATTAAAAGACGCTTACTCCTTGGAAGGAAAGTTATGACCAACCTAGATAGCATATTAATAAAAGCAGAGACATTACTTTGCCAACAAAGGTCCGTCTGGTCAAGGCTATGGTTTTTCCAGTGGTCATGTATGGATGTGAGAGTTGGACTGTGAAGAAAGCTGAACGCCGAAGAATTGATGCTTTTGAACTGTGGTGTTGGAGAAGACTCTTGAGAGTCCCTTGGACTGCAAGGAGATCCAACCAGTCCATCCTGAAGGAGATCAGTCCTGGGTGTTCATTGGAAGGACTGATGCTGAAGCTGAAACTCTAGTACTTTGGCTACCTGCTGTGAAGAGTTGACTCATTGGAAAAGACCCTGATGCTGGGAGGGATTGGGGGATGGAGGAGAAGGGGATGACAGAGGATGAGATGGCTGATGGCATCACCGACTCGATAGACATGGGTTTGAGTAAGCTCCGGAAGTTGGTGATGGACAGGGAGGCCTGGCGTGCTGCGATTCATGGGGTCTCAAAGAGTCGGACGCGACTGAGCAACTGAACTGAACTGAACTCCTTAAACCTTCTTAGTGGTATTAAGCCCTTTATCCGAGGGTTAAAAGAGAAGAGGCTTAAGATGAGGATAGGCAGGCCAGAGGCAGCTTTTGCTGGGAGAGGAACACAGACGGGGGAGACCTTGTCTGTGGAAGCTGGGGTGCAGTAAGAGGGCATCCCAAGCTGAGCGGGGCTGGGGCAGGGTGTCACGGCCCCAGGAATGCAGGCTTAGACCACTGAGCGCCCCCAGCCCCTCACAGCTTCACAGTCACGGCTCCCGCCGCCATCCGAGGGGTGCTCTGGGGTCTTCAAGCCCATGTCTCCTTCTCAGGGCTCCCGCTCCCTGTTACTTCACCTCCTGATTCCCTCACCACATGTGGCTTATGTGGAGGCTGTTTTTCCCCTTGAATTTAATTAACTTTGAAACCAACAAAGGTTGCACGCACGGCACCCAGGGTGGAGTTTGGCTGTGTGACAGCAGGAAATCCAATTATAATTGTAGAACTGGGGAGAAAGATGGGCTGATGAGATGCGGAGTGATGCATTGGCAGGAGCCCCCGGAGGGTCGGTGGGCTGAGGCTCTCGCTCCCCGCCCGGGAGGGCCCGTCCTGGCCTGGCTTGGGCAGCCCCACGCCCTGAGGCTCTCGTCCTCACGGACTCCCTACACAAGCAGGCATCCAAAGCATGCGAGCGTGGGAGCTGCAACCAGGCAGAGAATTACTCATCTTGGCTTCGTGCCATTCTTTCCTTCCCTTTCTCATATTAAAATATTTTGAGTTTCTAATCCATTAGCAGGAGATATGCACTCGTGATACTTGCAGAGTCTCTGAAATGTTTAACTGAGAACAAAAATAGCTCTTCTCGCTGGATAGAAAAGCATCGGGAAGTCACAGGCGCTCCATCCTCAAGGGGTCTGAGCAGACACGGTTCCCACAGGGTGCCCTTTACAGCCGTGTCGGTGCTTTGTTGCCTGAAGACAGAGGGGAACGCCGGGCTTCCCGGAATGTTCACGTGTGACGTGAGCACGGGGTCCCTTGGACACTCTGCTCCCCCGGACGGGGTGTCGAGGCCTGGGAGGTCTACATGCTGGGCTGGCTGTGATGGCGGGCAGGAGCTGTGAGCAATGGTAGGTGGGTGTCGGAGCCCCACCCGCCCTCCATGCCCAGGAGGCCAGGCACTCTCCGGCTGTGCCCCTGGCCCGTCTGGGAGGACGTGTGAGGTGACAGGGGCCGTGCTGTCGTGGGGCTGTTCTCGCTCCTGGTCAGAACAGGGTCATCAGAACAGGGCTGGGACACTCGTCTCTACAGGGACAGTCCTCAAGCTGGGGTTAATGCTACACAGTTTAAGGCTCACTTGTAGAATGCCGACGGGATGGTCCCCGGTTTGGACACCCTTATATCGTGGAACAGCAGTTTGGAACCTGAGACGGCTCACAGGCCCGTGAGATGTGGCTGGTCCTGATTCCATCGGTGGTCTCTGACCTGCCTGGGGGCCAGGCCACCAGCAAGCCCGCGGGCCATGGCACTCAGCTTGTCCTGGGGGATGGGGCCGACGGTGGAAGTGGTGAACGCCACTCAAGCCACAGGCTCAGCCCTGGGGCCCCACCTTCTCCGTGCTGCAGCCATGGGGGCTGCAGCGGGCCTCCCGGCCACCCCTTCTCTGTGGGGTCCCTGCAGAGCACCCCAGGGCGCAGGTCCAGGTTGGGTCTGTGGACGGGTCAGCAGCCCTGGCCTGGCTGCCCAGGTGGGTCCCAGCGCATCTGGGCAGCTGCCCCCCATGCGGGAACCGGGGGGCTCAGGAACTGCCCCCGAGGAGGGCTCAGATGGGCTGACTCTCGTCAGGATGCCGGGGGCCCTGGCCACACCACATCGTTCTTCCAGACCTCAGTTTCTCCATCTATAAAGTGGGCCATCCCCTGGTAAATGAGGTGAGGGGTGGGCAAGGGGTCACTGAGCACAAACCTGCAGTCAGAGGGGTAGGCTCGGGGCCTCCCCAAGGCGGATGGAGCCTGTGAGGGGCTGCTGAGGCCCCGTGCCCGGCGCAAGCAGGGGAACCTCACATATGTCAGCGAGGCGCACATGGCACGGGCACCCAGCCGCACCCCAGTCACCCTCCCCGGCCACCAGTCATGGCTCACTAGGCTGATCCCAATTAGAGGAGTACACGTGAAAGTACAAGGTGCTGCGTTTTTAGGTTTCCCTGATCCCACAGGAGAGGAACCGGCTTCAGATTACAGACCTTGGTGAGGCACGCAAAGGAAGCCCCTCGGTCATCCAGGAAAGTAACGGGCAGCAAGGTCCCTGTGGGTCTCACTTGAGGGGCAACAGGGGTGAGACTGACATGGGGGGCTGTGGGCTGAGGGGCGGCTGGCGGGAGGTGGGCCTCAGCCCCACAGACAGGCTTCTGCCAAGGTTCTCTGGGCTCCTGCTTGGGCAGCAGACAGCCCCCAAGCTCTTTAAATGAGCCCCACACCCAACGCGTGGACTCTGTGGATCACAATAAACTGGAAAATTCTTCAAGAGATGGGGATACCAGACCACCTGACCTGCCTCCTGAGAACTCTGTATGCAGGTCAAGAAGCAACAGTTAGAACTGGACATGGAACAACTTCCAGTGGTCATGTATGGATGTGAGAGTTGGACTGTGAAGAAAGCTGAACGCCGAAGAATTGATGCTTTTGAGCTGTGGTGTTGGAGAAGACTCTTGAGAGTCCCTTGGACTGCAAGGAGATCCAACCAGTCCATCCTGAAGGAGATCAGCCCTGGGTGTTCATTGGAAGGACTGATGCTGAAGCTGAAACTCCAGTACTTTGGCTACCTGCTGTGAAGAGTTGACTCATTGGAAAAGACCCTGATGCTGGGAAGGATTGGGGGATGGAGGAGAAGGGGATGACAGAGGATGAGATGGTTGGATGGCATCACCGATCCGACGGACATGAGTTTGTGTAAACTCTGGGAGTTGGTGATGGACAGGGAGGCCTGGCATGCTGCGATTCATGGGGTTGCAAAGAGTCGGACACGACTGAGCGACTGATTTGAACAGAATACCCGAAGCTGGCAGGGAGCACATGTCTGAACCAGCCCCGACCTGGGGTTCCTAAGGCTCTTCCCTATCCACACAAGGTCATGGCACTAGTGACGGGGCCCAAGGGGAGATAGTGGGCTGTTTTTCTGGTGGTAAAGAAAATATCCCCCCATCATGAGCCACAGCTGGGTGAGCGTGCCGGAGCTGGGGAGTTCACAGAAGGCCCAGGGCAGGCTTTAGCGGAGCTGCAGTCGTTCCTGAAGGAGGGGTTCTTCTTGCCCCTCACCTTCCCCGGGCCAAGTCTGGACCTGGCCTGAGAGCATCACAGCAGGTGCTGAGCCTGGGCAGTCCCGGCCAGGCACACCGGCTCTACGTCTGCAGAGATGCTCCAAGATTGGTCCCACCCCTGCTGTTGGCTCAAGGCTAAGAAAACCTCCTCACAGCTTCTCAAGAGCCTGTATTGTGGGGACATCCCCAAGGGAACAAGAAACCCTTGCGGCAGAAAGGACACGCGTTACAGCTGGGCTCAGCAGGCACCACCACTCTGGGGTCACCTTCCAGACACAGCAGGCTGGCGAGGCCTCCCCACCCCAACCTTGCAGATCCATCACGATTCCTAAGCCCAGGCAGCTGAGCTGAAATAGGGGCCTGGCTGGATTTGACAGGAAGTGGAAGGAGACGTGAACAAGCTGCCCCGCGGGGAGCCGGCAGGAGGGGAGGCCGGGCGCTTACCTTGCTCTCATCCTCAGGGTCGCTGTAGCCACACGCGTCCATGAAATCCGGGAATGTCTCTGACCACCCGTCACTGGTGCAGTTCTTGCTTATGTTTCCTGGAAAGTGAACGCCACGGGTCTGATCTGCGTGTCCAGGGCCTGCACCTGCGCCTCGGGGCCTCTCTCTGCCTCAGGCCGGTGAGGGTTGGGGCCTGGACCAGGGCGCCCGCTGCTCAGGGCCTCCTGAGCCCTGGAACCCGGGCAGTGGTCCTGCAGTTCGGGGGCCTCACTGGCTGGAGGGCGCAGGCTCTCTGACAAAGCACGGGCACGTGATGGCATTCCCGTGGGATGAAGTTAACAGTGTGCTCTGATGGCCGCAGAGCAGAGTGGAAGTAAACGGCTTGCATCCTGTCGAGTGAGACGTGTCTGAAGCCAGACCCCGATCACCCTGTCCTGCTGACTGGAGTCGGGAACAGAGAAGAGCGTTGGCAGAGCAGGGTGCCGGGCTCTTTGTAACTCTGCAACCCTGACGTCTCATGAGGAGGCTCTGCGAGATCCCCCATTGTGGACGAGAAACCTGACGCTTAACGAAGGTGGCCCACTGGCCCAAAGCTCCACAGCCGACAGCAAGCGACCCTTTTCAGGGCTGGGCAGTCACCTCCTCAAGTGCACAGCATGCTTGTGGCCCACCTGCCCTTGGGACCTGAAGCGAAGAGAAGCAGGTGCACAGTTAGAGCATCTCCTCACTGGGGTCTATGAGAACCTTGCTCTCTGGGGGACACGCTGTGGGACCTCCCGCCGCTGCGGGGCCCCGTATCTCCAGGCCGCTCCCTACTCTGGCCGTGCTGAGTTGCTGTGCATGGCGGTCTCAGCACAATGGTGACAGGCACCCCCACTCAGCCCCCCCAAAGCTGATTGCACACCCTTCATGGCTCAGAGGGCAAAGAGTCCGCCTGCTGTACAAGAGACACGGGTTCGGTCCCTGGGTCAGGATGATCCCCCGGAGGAGGGCATGGCAGCCTGCTCCAGCATTCTTGCCTGGAGAATCCCATGGACAGAGGAGCCTGGGGGTCAGTACAGTCCTTAGGGTCTCAAGGAGTCAGACATGACTGAGCGGCTAGCACTTTTCCCACACTTATCCTTGCCGCTGAATGCATGGTTGAGCGTGACCATCCCGTAGGGGCTGTGGTCACAGCGTCTGGTCCTGAGCACTGACAGCTGGGCTCAGACCCTGCTCTGGAGGGCCCTGGTTCAGGGGTTAGGCTGGAACGGTGGCGGGCTCTATGAGGCGCCAGCCCCTGGGAAGAGCTCCCGACCCGGGTCCTGTTCAGGCTTGGAGTCAGGGGCAGGTCAGAGCCCTGCAGCCCTCTGAGGACCAGCCCCGCAGCTTCTAGAGAGAAGTGGGCAGAACGCAGGGCTGGGCCCTCTGGCTGCTGGATGCACAACACAGCACCTTCCCCCCACGGGGGAGACCCACGAGGGCCTTCGTCCATTCGTCAGAGCAGATCTCAGAGTCCTTGAACCTGGTCCTCCTGCACCTGGAGGTTTGACACCGCCCCTTTCAAAGACCTGCCTTGGAGTGACACCCAGCCTGGCTCCCCGCCCAGAGGCAGAGTCTCTCGTGGCCCATTCCCACCCCCATCCTAGCCCTGCTTGGGGGGACCTCCCACGGGCCCCAGGACCCACTGGCTTGGGGACAGCACAGCAATGTGCTGCTTGCCATGACAACGTGCACCAATGTCTGAAGAGACCCCCCAATTTCCCACCTACAACTTGTTTTTTAAAATAAAAAACAGGTGTATTTCTCAAACATCTGGGTTTTCAGGGTCTGTGTGCAGAGCAAGCCCCAGGAGGAGGCAGCCCCCAGCCCCATGAGCACCTCCTGCAGGTGTTCACGGGCTGAGAACCCAGTCGGTCCAGGAAGGGAGATGCTTCCTGTGTGAGAGAGAGTGTGTTCCCGGCCAGCAAGGGACACCCTGGAGGACACGCTCTGAGGGCCACAGGTCCCCAGGTGAGACAGGTGTTCCTGTTCTCCTCCTGCCTGCTGCCCGTGGCCCCTCATCTGCCCTGGGCACCCGTGTGTCGGGCTCCTGCTCCAGGTCTCCTGTCTGAGCCCTCTGCGTGTGCTGTGGGTGGACAGCCTGGTGGCAGGCATTCTGTCCTCCCAAGCTATAAGGCAAGGTCAGCACAGCTGCTTCCTGACCCATTGGGTCATGGACACCAACGCCCTGCTTCTTGTGCCTCCATGGAGAAGTCGGTCCCTGCGACCAAACCCCCAAAAAGCTCAAAGATGGCAGCATGGACAGTACCTGGTTTGCTGTAAAAATTGCTGAACAGTTTTGGACAGGGCACCGTGACGGTCTCGCCAACATCCGCGGGGCGCCAGCAAGTAATGTTGTCCCAGACGCCGCTGCAGGCTGGAGGGGAGACAGGGGTGAGCGAGGCCCGCTGCCCACTTCGGGCAGCTCCCTCGGGCCGCATGCGCCCCTGAGCGGTGGGGCCAGATCTGCCCTGAAGCTTTGCAAATAGAAAGCCTATCAATTAGATAATTATACTGCAAGTCATTCTCCTGTGAAACAAACTCGCACCACAATGTTATTGAGAACATGCTTGGCACGGGTTCACTGTGATCAGCTTTGCAGACGTGAGTGAGTGTGAAGGGAAGAATCTCAGGCACCCAGTGTGCGCTGTGCACTTTTGAATTTCAGCAGAATCAGTACTTTTTCCCGATGATGTGCTCGTCCCTGTGACAAGTGGGCGCCACCCGGCATCTGTGTAAGTCTGGGAGGTGAGGGTCCCCTGAGGCACACACACTTGTGCTTTTATGGACTCTGACTTCAAGGACAATTTGCAAATTTAAATATTTGATAAGATTTAGTTGATTGCAGCAGTCAAGATGATATATTGGCGATGAAATTTTAGGCTACCTTCGTGGAGTTATCTAATAACTTAATTAGCACAATGTTAAAGCCTAAAACATTTTTCAGATCTCTTATTTTGCGTAATAACCACCCCATGAGGATAATTCATACAAGCATTGCATCATCTCAGCAACAAACAGCGCTGAGGTTCAACGTCAAACAAACAGAAAATGAATCCCGGAACCCAGGGGTTTTTTACTACAAGTTGAGGGTATTTCTACCATATTTTGTGACCTCTAAAATTTTACATTTCAGTTAAACTTCAATATTGGAGGAGCAGTGTGCCAGCTTCAGTTAAAACAAAGAAATAACAGTTCTGCTCTCTGACGTGCCATCCAGACCTGTACGATAACCATGATGTAGTTTTGGTTTGACCACAAGAATGTTTTACTTCTATGAAAACAGATAATGAAAAGTTGGCTCCAAACCAAGTTTTGCAAAAAAGTTGAAAATATCCTTCTAAAGGTTTTTACAAATAAAATGAAAATGTGTGTGCTTAGTCACTCAGTCCTGTCCGATTCTTTGCTACCTGATGGACTGTAGCTCACCAGGCTCCTCTGTTCGTGAGATTCTCCAGGCAAGAATACTGGAGTGGGTCGCCATTTCCTTCCCCAGGGGATCTTCTTGACCCTGGGATCGACCCCGGGTCTCCTGCATTGCAGGACGATTCTTTACCATCTGAGCCACCAGGGAAGCCCCAAATGAAAATACACTCATCCTACAAACTGAATTACACCCCAAAGATTGAGGACATAAATTCATACTACAGTAGCTTACATATTTAAAGAAAATGTTGCTTTCTGAAAAATTACTTAGAACAAGTCATCAAGGACAAAGATGTCAGTAGAAAGCCTCGCCCAGTTGGGTGGACAGTGCGGCGTGCGGGCCTGGGGCCGTGTGGGTGAGCAGGGGACAGTGGTGGGGGTTTACCTGGGCAGTGACTCTGAGCACAGACGACAGATAACGGGGAACATACGTGCCGCTCTCTCCACCTTCCAAACCTCATGAAAATGACAGTCGAGAGATCAGAGGGGGCAGTTCCTAGAGCCCATAAAACTTTGAAGACAGACAGCACGTGTGTTTTAAAGACTCAGGCAGAGCAAAGGGGGCGAAGAAGAGCCCGCAGGAGGAGGAAAGTGGGCAGTGCCCTTGAAGGGCCCTGGACCCCAGGACACGGGGCTCGGTGGACTAAATTTGGAAGAATCACATTGAGTGTGAATTCTGAACTCTGGGAGCCCAGCCTCCTGCAGCCTGCTAAGAGTTTCTGGAAGCGCTGCTTAGGCCACCTGCTGGAGGCCCCAGGCAACCAGGCCACCTGAGACGGGCTGAGTCGCTCTGAGAACCGCAGTTGGGGACCACCCGGTGTTAGCTTCTCCCGAGAGAAGCTTCTCTTGCTCTGGTGCAAAGTCTGATGCTAACTGTTGAGAGATATGGGGCTTCCCAGGTGGCGCTAGTGGTAAAGAGCCCACCTGCCAATGCAGGAGACTAAGAGATTCGAGTTTGCACCCTGGGTTGGGAAGATCCCCTGGAGAAGGGCATGGCAACCCCCTGCAGTATTCTTGCCTGGAGAACCCCATGGAGAGAGGAACCTGGCAAAGCTTTCTTTTGCAAAGCCAGATTTCCAGACATTCCCAGCCGTCATTCTCACCTCTAACTCTGTGGCTGCTTAGCAACTCACTTTCCTAGTTTTTCCAAAGCACACGAATTGGTTTTCCCAGAAACAAGTGCCTTTTGGTATCTGTCAGCTTACATACTGTTTAACTAAGCAGTTGGTTGAGTAGCAGATGTGGGCGGTGACGATACATTGTAAGCTCGGCAAAGTGGTCCCAGCGGTTGCAAGGAGGAGGTGGCAGGGAGTTGTGAGCAAAGAGCCTCCCGCCAGGGTCACTGGAAAAGAAAGCATAGGAGCCTAGTGGACCCTGGTGCTGGGGGCTTCCTAAGCTCTTCTTGGGAGGGCAGCTTAGTGCCCTGAAAACCACCCTCTATGACCAAGCGGTTCAGGAAAACTGACCTTGCGCAGGGTGCAGCATCCAGACATCCCCGACACTTCACGGCACCTCACACAGAAAATACGCGAGACAGTGATGAATTGCACCGCAAGGGCTGCGGTCAGAACACGTGCCTATAAATGTGCCGGAGCTCCAAGGGGACAGTGGCAACTCACCCGCCAGACAAGCGTCTTAAGCAGGGGGACCCACCATCATGGAGAGAACCCTAATCCCCTTGTCCCCAAAACTGACTTTCTCCCAGGCTGTCTGTGGGCAGGTCACACTACCACAGATGAGGGTATCTGTGTTGTTTTGAGTCCTGGATTTATCTTCTCATTATTTCAATGACATAAACATCACTTTCCAGAAAACCACGTGAGTGTCACTACTCAGGTCTCGCAGTTTCTCTCGGCAGAGCTTTCATAGGCACTGTGTCTCCTGCTCCCGGGTGCACACGGGGAGGTCAGGGCCAGAACCCCGTCTGGCCACCACCGCCCTGACCCCTACAGGCCACGTCCCCACTGGTGGTTTGTGGTGGGGGCCCTGGACACAGAGCCAGAGGCGCGTCTGAGTCCGGGTGAGCGTGTGGACAGAGGACGGCCCCGGGCACTGACTCGGGGGCTGAGGGCTGAAGTCTAAGGCAGGCTCTGACTGCACGGACATGGCTGCCTACCCTCTCTGGGTGAGGCTCCTGGGGCGTCCCCAGCAGAGGCCGGGCTCTGCTCCATCCTTGTTGCTGGGAGAGGAATCCAGTCCCCAGCCAACACCAAGGCAGAGAGAGAGGGCATGGCAGCGGGACCGCGGGTACCCAGGGACCCCGGCAGACTGGAGGTACCTATGCAGTAGGGAGGTGCCCGGGTGGGCGGGGGGAGGTGTTCGGCAGGCATGGGGTGGTGGAGGAGGGTCCCACCCCCACCAGGAGAGCCGGGGAGGGACTCCACTCCACAGCCTGGCAGACCAGCAGGGGGCAGAGGGACCAGCACCCCGGTCACCTCGCTCCAGATGGGGTGTGGGGAAGGGGCTACAGGACCAGGGATGTGGGAAAGGAAAATGAAATGTGCCTATTTCCGGCACTAAGGTGCGAGGTCTGGCAGCAGCTAGGGCCACCAGTACTACCTTCCGTTCATAGGTTTAGTTTAAAGTTGAAGTCACCAGCGGCCGGAATCAGACGCTGCAGGCACGTGCTAGAAGTGCCCCTGGACTCTGAGACGAACTGAACTGAACCTCAGTCCACGGATGGCAGGGCCCATGAGGCCCGGGGTGTCCCCTCGATGGGCTGGCCTTGCTCAGAGAAGCCAGAGAAACAGCACTTCTTGCTCTCTGGCCAGACCTTGTGTGGAATGTACTGTGGCCAGAATGACAAGGTCTCTAAGGCTCGCCTGAGCGACCAGGGAGGAGGCCGGAGCTCTGGGACTGCCCTGCGTCTGCCCGTGGACGACACCATCAGAGGGCAGGTCTCCCACAGTCCAGGCAGGTGGTGGGGCCGCCAAGGGGCAGTGGATAGCGTGCCAGGTCCTTCCCATCCCTCACCCTGGGACTCGCTGTTACTGCCCACACCGAGTCCTGCTTTGATTCTCCCTCTGGCGCGGCTCAATTTTTAAGGTTCCTGGAGGTTCTCACGTGCACCCAGGGCTCAGACCCACTGTCTTGCAGGGCAGGCGCCAGATGGGACCTTGAGGTCACGAGTACAGGTGCTGATGAGGGTCCCGGGGCTGCTGCCCCTGGGAACTTGCCAGAAAGTTCCTGGGTCCCATCCCAGGCCACCAAGCCAGAGACCCAGGGTGGCCCCACAGCCCCGAGATGGTACTTAGCAGTTCAGGCACTGATGCAGCCCCACCGCCGCCCAGCACAGGAAGGGAGGTGGGCGTGGAACCCCTGCAGCTCAGCAAGCCTGGTTTTCCCTGTAAATGGGGGGGGGGNGGGGGGGGGGGTGGGGGAGCGCCAGAGGCCTATGTGGCAGGTACCAGGGTCTGCGTGGCCCAGGGAGCCCAGAGTGGCCGTGGGGCACCTCCTGGAGTGATAGCAACACGGACTCCCAACACCTCCGCGGACCTGGGGGTCTGTGCCCGATGACCACCTCATCACGTGAGCCCGCTGGGGAAAGGGCTGCCCAGGAGGAGTTCTGAGAGCAACAGGGGGCAGCATGCCATGCCCGGGGGCTGGCTCTGCCCTCAGAAGTTCATCTCATCCTGAGACCCAGGTAGCTGGGCGGGGGTGGCTCCCCAGTCTCAGCTCATGGATATGTATGTGGAGGCCAACATCTGCTGGATCATCGAAAAAGCTAGAGAATTCCAGAAAAACATGTACTTCTACTTTACTGACTATGCCAGAGCCTTTGACTGTGTGGATCACAACAAATTGTGGAAAATTCTTCAAGAGATGGAAATACCTCACCTGCCTCCTGAGAAACCTGTATGCAGGTCAGGAAGCAACAGTTAGAGCTGAACATGGAACAACAGACTGGTTCCAAATTGGGAAAGGAGTACATCAAGGCTGTATATTGTTACC